CAAGTTGGAAACTACCTGCTTGGCTTGTCCCGAATTCGAAAAAGTCGTTTAAAGACAGAGTCTGTTATTTATGCACGGAATGATTGCCGAGATTTACATGTAAGCTAAAGCTATTAGAAATTATTGTTACAACTCCTATGTCAACATTGAAAAGAATCAATACCTTTCTTCGAAATACTATGACCCAGGATCGCCTTACAGCGTTGCCGATGTTGTTCATTGAAAAGGAATTTATTCCGACCATGGAAAATTTCAACGGGAAGGTGATCGACAAATTTGCTGCCAAGAAGGAGCGCAGGATCGAATTGACATATAAAAAATAGGTAAGTTCGTATTTGCAGAACACCTGTTTTATTTTACCACGAGCCGCCACTGACACCCAGAAATTTAGTTTTAGTCGTTTTGCCAACCGTTTTGACAGGTTTAGTTTCAAAACAAAGAGTTTCAGTTTTTACTTCGTTCAGAACAAACTGGTTTGTGAAAAACCACGCCTTAGCCCTATCCAGGACGCTCCCAAGCATCCGCGCTGCGTCCACGCCCTCTCTACAGCAATTCCAAATTTTGCATAGGTTCACTAGCTCGATTACAGCAAAAAACCTACAATATGTCTGAGAGATAGGACGCATCAGATTTAGAGCAGTTCCCCTAACGCCATAAAATTGTATATTTTCCAATAAAATTCGCACAATCGAAAGCGGCAGTCAGATGAGTAGGGGAGACCGGGGCTAGTTGTCACAATTTTCAGTAGTTCTTTTTTTATTCGATCTGAAGCGTTATATGCACATATTTGGTGCATAACTAATATGGTTTATCCTTTGGCAAAGTGTAAAATCGATAATGCTGCAAAATAGTTCACAATATTAAATTAAAATGTTTCAAAATACAGAAACAAATGTGACAACTTGCCCCTTGCTGGGGCTGGATGTCACATTGCTTGGGGTTGGTTGTCACGTGTATTTTAGATCATTAATAAATTATGATATCATACTTTTAAACATATTTATTATTACAAAAAATGCTCATCAAACACCAAATCTTTGAGAAAAAAGTAGAAGAGTTTTTTTACAATTAGTCACTATCGCAGTTATGACATAGTAAAGTTCGCGTCCATCAGTGCACGCATCATGAGACCAACCATTACACGATGAGCATTTCACCCATTCTTCATGTGGTGCGCTGTTAGAAAGGGTTCAAGACAAATCAAGCAAACACATTCTTCTCCATCAGTTTCATTATCTGAACAGGACTTGCGTTTTTCAATTTTTTTAGATTTTTTTTCTGAATCAAAAAACGTCTCTTTTCACTGTTTCACTGTTCCTTTTTTCTTGTTCCAGCATTTATTTTTCTCTTTCTCTAATTTGTCTTTTACTGGAGTGTCAGTGAGTATTGCACTCCCTCGTTTACGACGGGAAACTCGATTCATTTTTCTTGCCGATGCCTTTAGATAAGGTCTTAAACTTCTGGAAGCACCATATTTCCCGTATGCAGCCTTACTAAACTACTACAGCAGAGATCATCAAAACTAGTTTGATTAGCTGTTTTGCTCTCTCGTATATTATCTATTGCTTCCTGCGTGTTAATATTTATCAGACTTACAGTTTCATCTTCGTTCAAGATGGTTGGATTTGGCCCAACTTCCTTTTCGTTTAAGGTTTCCAGGTTTGATCCAGTTATTGCTTCGTTCAAGATATCCGGATCTGGCCTATCAGTGACAGAGCTCGCAAGAAAGTCATCATCCGTGAAAATATCTCTGTTGTAAGGAGACACCCGACACACCCAAAATTCAGGCAGTATATTTTTGGGAGTAAATGCGAGGTCGTGTGCAATAGAGACCACTGAAGGTATGTCGTATATAGTCATGGTCTTACCGGGATTATTTAAAATCCAATCATCGCAGGAAGTATTTACATATATCTTAAAAGGGCCGAAAACGGCGCGGTCAAGAGTTTATGTGAACAGTGAGGGTAAAAAGAGAGCATGACAATACCATTTGCTTTGGCAAAATTCAGTCCTTCTATACTCAGATGTGATTCGTGGATATCTAGTAAAAGCAGGCACGGTCTTTCCACAGTACTTTTCACATGAAGGTGAAAAAATCTAAGAAACTCCAAGAAATGTGACTCTTTTATCCTACCTGATGGGTTTGTAGAACCTAGTGAGCCAGAAGGAGCCGAATTTAAAAAATGTGGTTTGAAATGTACCCGTGGAAAATTGAACAAAGGTGGTATGGAATTTCCAATAGCTGATACTGCACTTGCTAAAGTAACAAGAGTTCCTCTTTCTGATGAAACTACCGAACCAACCTGTTTGAATCCTCTTCTGGCAACAACGCGGTCGGGTCTTTGGATAGTTGTAATCCCAGTTTCATCCATGTTCCAGATTTTGTGAGGCTCAAATTTATGTTTTTTCCATAACTGAAGCTAAATTATCAAAAAATGCGTTGACGTTCGTTTTATTGAAACTACTGGCTCTTGCTTAACTAGTTGCTTCGGGTTTGCGAATAGACGCACTAAACCAGTCAGGACCAGCTATTTTATGGAGCTCCAACTTTCCGGAATTTTCAAGAAATTAGCATTAGCAAATTCATATGCCAGTCCACGTACTTCCAAAATAAATATCAGATGCTTTGAATTTTCAAGTTCAGGCGCAAATACTAAATGATGCTTATGTAACCTGAATATATTAAAAAAATACATTATATACATATACCTAGGTAGAATGATGTACAAAGCTAATCGTCGTGTGGGGGCTGGTTGTCCCATGTGACAAGAGGCCCCCAGTAGGGTGTATTCGCCGATTGAGCTTCCTCCCGGGGGGGTCGCCGATTCTGCTTCCTCCCGGGGGTCACCGATTCCGCTTCCTCCCGGGTGGTGGGGTAAGGGGCGGGAGGTGTTTAAATTCCGAGTCCTCCCAATGACCATCCTCATAGCATTGAAAACGTGTTGTTTAACAGAAATGAGTCGACGGATAGTGTCTCCCCCTCCTCCCCACCTCCCTCCCCACACTACTATAACTCATCGACCGACGACGAAGCGAACCAGCAGCGCTTTTTCCCACATCAATCTTGTCATCCCTACACCTTAATCCGATGATATGACCATTCTTTGCCCTCTCAATCGTTGTGTGCGATGGGGTAAGGCGCGGGGGGTGTTTAAATTTCGACTCCTCTCAATGACCATCCTCATACCATCAAAAACAACTCGTTTAATAGAAACGTTGACTCGACGGGCGATGTAATCAATTGTTGCCCTCTCAATCACCGTGTGTGGTGCGATGCGTATTTTTTGTTGACTACCTGAACTCTTGTATGCACCTGTGCAGTAACGTAATCTAACTCTCCTCAGGTAAATAGCTCGACGGAACCCATGGAAGTGCGGTGTGGTAAGAGGCGGTAAGGTAAGGGGCGGGGGTGTTTAAATTCCAAGTCCTCTCAATGACCATACTCATAGCATCGAAAACATGTTGTTCGACAAATTTGTATCGTATAAATAGCTCGAGGAAGGAATTGTTACCCTCTCAATTACCCTGCTAATTGTAAAACTACACAGCAGTTAGGTCCCCTTATCAAGAACTGTAAACCATTTTCGTGCTTCTGTCCTCACATCATAAACGCGTTTATAATAAAAAAGGAGTCGTCGATGGAAGGTGTTGCTAAGGCATTGTTGTCCTCACAATGGCCATGTCGATTGTAAAGTCTCTCAGATGTTCAGTGCAGAATAATTGAAATGTTAACTATATATTTTTTTGTGGCCCACCCGAATTTTATCTGGGGGTTGGGTTGTTAAAATGTCTTAGGGTATGCAGCGGTGCTGTAAGGTAATCTAACTCTGCTAGTTATTATATAAATGGTAAAACAACAACAGCTTTGATCATTCAAATTCAGCCATTTAACATCGATAAGTGACTAAATAATATTCTTGAAGTACTTAACAGATAGAATTTGGTGAGCATCCTTTTATATTATTTATCCAACACTATATTTATTTTTTTAATAATGTCTATCACTACCTCAGCCTTGCATGAAAAAACAATAAAATAAATTGAGAATCTGACGACAATATACCATCTAGAACATTATTATTATTAACTGTAAACAAATCTTATCCTATTAAGAATATTTCAAGTATTCAATCAAAGTTTGGGCAATGCCTAGTAGCAACCCTTCTTGATTCTGATTCTGACCAGTTTAGGGTTTGGCTACCTAAAAGAGTGTTGGAAAACATGCCCGAAATTATGATTAAAGATATAAATGAGTCCCTAAACAAATATTCTTTAGCGTATATTGGCCAAAGCTCACCAAAGACACCAGGTAGTCGTTCAAAATGTTTGATAAAATTTGAATTTGTTGACAGTAGTAATTAGTTTAAAAATATGAGGTACTATAGGTTAATATGTTGGGTATAAGTAATATAAAGGTTCAGATTGGAACTGGGTTAGAAAAATGCAGCAGGTAAAGTTGTTTTGACAAATATCATGTTCCACTTGATATTGACCATTATATTTATCTTTCCAGAAGCAGTACACCCACTCTGGTTTGACAAGATGTGGATGCATTATGCATCATTGCGTTGGCCTGGCAAAGGATCTACTTACCGCTGTCATGAGATTAGTGTGCCAGTTAACGGATTTGATGCATGACGCTGAACATTCAACAAACTACGATATGAATATTTATTGGGATGATAACGAGGTTGAAACGATCAGGAGACTAATTCGGAAATACGAGGAGGGCAGAAGTTGTGTGCGCAGTATCTACAAGAAGATTGTACTATTGAGCAGTTTTGTAGTGATACGATTAATTATAACCTTAGATCATTTCTGTGTGAGACTGCAAGGTATTTACCTCCTGAAATTATCCTCAAATATAACCTCGTGTATGAGGATTGAACACTATCTATTTAGTTTACTATCGGATTATACAATGCATTCTTATTAAATAAATACCTGACATTTTGAGTTGTTGTTATTTCATATATATATATATATATATATATATATATATATATATATATATTATATGTATATATAGCATGACAGGGCATGCTATATATTATATGTATATATATAGCATGACAGGGCATGCTCGATTGTGCGTTCAGGAGTTCTTCTCATAATATGCGTCCGAATATTCGACAACATCCACACAAGACAAAATAGAAATGGCTGCTGGTGAAAGAAGGGACTTTTTCACTTTTAAAAGCAAACTACATGATGTGTACACGAAGGTGAAAAATAAGGTTGCTCTAGCACATCGTGATGATAAAAGGTTTATTACTCCTAACATCACAAAAACTTTACCTTGGGGACACTCTGACATTGAGTTTTACCAGACTGACCCCTCTTTGAATGTTAAATATGCTGTAGGTGCAATCATTGCAGAAGCCACTTTTCCTGAAAATGGTGATTTAGACTTATTAATAAAATGTTAAGTTAGAGGAAGTTTGTAAGTATTAGATTTAGGTTACGTCAAGCTTGTACAGGTAAATAAAATGAACATGTAGTAAGAAAATGAGTTTTATTTCACACTTACAAAAACATTTAATAGGAATGAATAAGTCCTTTTGGATAGACCCATCAAAAGCATTGTAACTGAAACATGAGTCATGAATAACTAATGCGTACACCTTGGTGTGGAATGGAAATGCAGATTTCCTGGTCTCAAACTCCAAAGATATGTCTACAGTTGAAGGTTGTAGATGATCAGGCTGATGACTGCAATCAGTAACGAAAAGCGGATTGTCATTAAATTCTTTAATATCATCATAGGTTCAGGAATGTTCCGGTTGTAGTATGTTTTTTGAAAGCTCTCAAATGCATGATAAGCTGCGGTGTTGAGCTTTTTTCGAAATTCAAGTTCCACCTTTCGTATGGGAATACTTGGTTGTTCAACTTCAAGCGAATCGAGTTGAAGTTGGCATTTATGAATTTCGTTATATCCATCGAATGATTTCTTCTACTGTAGAATCTTGAAATCCAATGATAACGAATAGAGGTCTCTCTAGTTTACTGGTTGTTCTAATTGCCCAAGCATCCGATGATGTAGAACGAAGAGATGGAAGCTCATAGAGATCCCAAGATCGAAATGCTACCTTGATCCTTGAGCTCACATGTTTATTCAGCCTTTGCAGAAGCTTGACTTTGTAACGATCATCCGGAACGGTGTGTTGAACCTTCCATTCAATCTTGGATATAGTCAATTCAGCATCACATTCACCCACATAACAGTTTTTGAAGGATCTTGCAATAACCAACAGAAGCTCATGTTTTATATTTAGAACCCTTTTTTTGTAGTCTTCTGCGAATCCCATTATATGTTTTAGGGGTATCCTACCACTAAAAACTTTACTTTTGACATCCCATATAGCTGAGTTCTCGGCACTTAAGGTCCAACCACTACATAAAAGTGTATGCATAGCACTTTTACCATGTGACACCATCGTTTTTATAGTTGAAGTTATCCCTGGATTCCGAACTCCATAAACTTTTTCGCCACCCATCTGTAGGGAAATTTCTTGAAATAAAAAGGCCAATGCATTGTTTGATAAGTAGCAGGGTGTCGTAGCGTCGCTAGGCGTAAATGTTCCTTCAACGTAAGTATAACTGTCAGCAATGTTTAAAATATGATCTTGGAAGTTCATAGGGATGTGAACTATATCTGAATTCTTGAAATATGGCGATCCATATGATTTGTATGTGTATTCTTGTAGGCTGGCTAAGGAATGATCTATGATGGGTTCCTCAAAAACATCCAATTTCTCATTTGATACGTGTAGAACCATATTGTTTGATTAGTTTCAGCCCTATAGACTCCAGGAACTTGCGATTTTGCAGCGAAATATTCGATGCTGTGTCTTTGACGATGATTGAACGACGATTAACGGAATTTCCACTGGTTCTTCGTCTTTTATGATTAGTTGTGCGACCTTTTTCTACATTCTTCAAATGATATATATCTAGGTTATATAGAAATCTCATTGTCTTCAGCTGGCACTAGACAGGCGTCGCAGTTCTAATTTGACTATAATCTTTTCACCACGGAAATTGACCAAATTCCCGACGTCATCCAAAATTTCCAGTGTGATGTTATCAATAAACTGGCGTCCACGCGGTTTAACGCTCATATATATTACATTCTGAGGCTCCTTTGTTAATTTAAATCCCTTTTCAACGTCTATATCAAACTCATACAAAGTGTGCATTTCAATGCCATTGCAATAAGCTCCTGAATTAATCCACAGTCGACTCTTATTATCCTAACTAGCGCAGTTGCTGGCACGCTAACGCTATGCAAAATATTGCACGTTGATGTCTTTATTTAAAACCGTCACGTAGCGCAGTTGCTGGTATGCTAATGCAATGCTAGCGATAACTTTATCCCTATCTCTAATCATTTTTTATCCTTTGGCATCTTTGATCTGGTATCTGGTATCTGGTATCAGGTATCTGGTATCTGGTATCTGGTGTCTGGTGTCTGGTCTGGTATCTGGTCTGGTATCTGATGTCTGGTATCTGTGTCTGGTATCTGGTATGGTATCTGGTGTCTGGTATCTGGTATTTGGTATCTGTTATCTCTTATCTGGTATCTGGTATCTGGTATCTGGTATCTGGTATTGGTATCTGGTGTCTGGTGTCTGGTATCTGGTATCTGGTGTCTGGTATCTGGTATCTGATGTCTGGTATCTGGTATCTGGTATCTGGTGTCTGGTATCTGGTATCTGGTATCCGGTGTCTGGTATCTGATGTCTGGTATCTGGTATCTGGTGTCTGGTATCTGGTGTCTGGTATCTGGTATCTGGTGTCTGGTATCTGGTATCTGGAATCTGGTATTTGGTATCTGTTATCTCTTTATCTGGTATCTGGTGTCTGGTATCTGATATCTGGTGTCTGGTATCTGGTGTGTGGTATCTGGTATCTGGTGTCTGGGATCTGGTGTCTGGTGTCTGTTGTCTGGTATCTGGTGTCTGATGTCTGGTGTTTGGTATCTGGTGTCTGGTATCTGGTATCTGGTTGGTATCTGGTATCTGGTGTCTGGTATCTGGTATCTGGTATCTGGTGTCTGGTGTCTGGTGTCTGGTATCTGGTATCTGGTGTCTGGTATCTGTGTCTGGTATCAGGTATCAGGTATCTGGTATCTGGTACTTGGTATTTGGTATCTGATATCTGGTGTCTGGTATCCGGTGTCTGGTTTCTGGTATCTGGTATCTGGTGTCTGGTATCTGGTGTCTGGTATCTGGTGTCTGGTATCTGGTATCTCGTATGTGGTGTCTGGTATCTGGTGTCTGGTATCTGGTATTGGTATTTGGTATCTGTTATCTCTTTATTGGTATCTGGTATCTCGTTTCTGGTATCTGCTATCTGGTGTCTGGTATCTGGTGCCTGGTGTCTGGTATCTGGTATCTGGTATCTGGTGTCTGGTGTCTGGTATCTGTATCTGGTATCTGGTAGTGGATCTGGTATCTGGTATCTGGTGTCTGTATCGTATCTGGATATCTGGTGTCTGGTATCTGGTATCTGGTGTCTGGTTCTGGTATCTGGTGTCTGGTATCTGGTATCTGGTATCGTATGGTGTTTGTATCTGGTTTGTTGTCTGGTGTGTGGTATCTGGTATCTGGTATTTGGTATTTGGTATCTGTTATCTTTTTATCTGGTATCTGGTGTCTGGTATCTGGTATCTCGTTTCTGGTATCTGCTATCTGGTATCTGGTGTCTGGTTCTGGTATCTGGTGTCTGGTATCTGTGTCTGGTATCTGGTGTCTGGTATCTTATCTGGTATCTGGTATCTGGTGTCTGGTATCTGGTATCTGGTATGTGGATCTGGTATCTGGTTTCTGGTATCTGGTATCGGTGTCTGTATCTGGTATGTGGTCT